CGGGCCAACCAGAAGCCTGGGTTCAAGGAACCCAGTCTGGGTTGAGGGGCCTCATAGGCATCCTGTGTCCACAGGAGCACTTCCGGAGCCTAGTGCAATGGGAGCTGCCTAGAGTTACCGAAGCCAGCAGGCACTGGGATTTTTTTTTTCCCCTTCTGAAGTTTGTACAGAACTATTATAATTTATTCTGCTCCCATCAAAAAATATCTACAAACTAACTTTCCATCAGTAGAGATAAACATTACTGTTTGCCTACTCTTGAGTATTAATATCTAAGTTACTTATGAAAGTATGTTTCTAAATATAGCAAATCCTACTTTTAGCCTCAACTATTTCCATAATAATAGTGCTCAGTAAAGAACGTTAGAGTAATAAATATATTGGGTTTTTTTCCATTTATTTTTATTAGTTGGAGGGATTCTTGAAATAAATAAATACACTGTCAAAGTGCTAGTCACTCAGTTGGCTCCTACTGTTTGCAACCCTTGAACTGTAACTGCCAGGCTCCTCTGTCCATGGAATTCTCCAGGCAAGGATACTGGAGTGGGTTGCCATTCCCTTCTCCAGGGTATTCTCCCAACCCAGGGATCGAACCTGGGTCTCCCACATTTTGGTAGATTTTTTACTGTCTAAGCCACTAGGGAAGCCCCTGCAGGAAAATGAAAATAGAATAGGTTGCTTCCTGAGATACCCAATGATTTGGTCTATAGAGCAAGATCCTTTCTTCTCTATCATATATCAATTTATTTTTCACTTAAGAATTTATTTGATCTTGAAATGTTCATACTAAGAAGTTTAAAGCATATATATGTTTATACATTAAAAATAATTCCAGTGCCTCCTTTATTGTGCCTAGGAGCCTTACTTCCCAAGAACAAAGATTGTTGACAGTATGAATCTCTGGTATTGGCCTGCTCGGGCCAACCAGAAGCCTGGGTTCAAGGAACCCAGTCTGGGTTGAGGGGCCTCATAGGCATCCTGTGTCCACAGGAGCACTTCCGGAGCCTAGTGCAATGGGAGCTGCCTAGAGTTACCGAAGCCAGCAGGCACTGGGATTTTTTTTTTCCCCTTCTGAAGTTTGTACAGAACTATTATAATTTATTCTGCTCCCATCAAAAAATATCTACAAACTAACTTTCCATCAGTAGAGATAAACATTACTGTTTGCCTACTCTTGAGTATTAATATCTAAGTTACTTATGAAAGTATGTTTCTAAATATAGCAAATCCTACTTTTAGCCTCAACTATTTCCATAATAATAGTGCTCAGTAAAGAACGTTAGAGTAATAAATATATTGGGTTTTTTTCCATTTATTTTTATTAGTTGGAGGGATTCTTGAAATAAATAAATACACTGTCAAAGTGCTAGTCACTCAGTTGGCTCCTACTGTTTGCAACCCTTGAACTGTAACTGCCAGGCTCCTCTGTCCATGGAATTCTCCAGGCAAGGATACTGGAGTGGGTTGCCATTCCCTTCTCCAGGGTATTCTCCCAACCCAGGGATCGAACCTGGGTCTCCCACATTTTGGTAGATTTTTTACTGTCTAAGCCACTAGGGAAGCCCCTGCAGGAAAATGAAAATAGAATAGGTTGCTTCCTGAGATACCCAATGATTTGGTCTATAGAGCAAGATCCTTTCTTCTCTATCATATATCAATTTATTTTTCACTTAAGAATTTATTTGATCTTGAAATGTTCATACTAAGAAGTTTAAAGCATATATATGTTTATACATTAAAAATAATTCCAGTGCCTCCTTTATTGTGCCTAGGAGCCTTACTTCCCAAGAACAAAGATTGTTGACAGTATGTTTTAGATTCTTCCACACTTTTTCTATGCACATAAAATTAAAAGTACAGGAAGTTAATTGTTTAAGATTTTCTCATTTATTTATATACAAGGCACTTATTCTTAATAATGGCTAAAGGGAGACAAAAACTTTCAAAAGCTTAACTATATTTCATTATATACTTGTATGTCATGAGAGAGTAAGCCATGAAAACTCCTTAATTCTTTTACTATTGAAAGTTTGACTGTCTAAATTATTAATATTGATCTTGCTAGTCTAATTTTCAGCATCTGACATACCTAATTATAGACAGCCTACCTAAGAAAAATCCCTATATTTAGAATTTGGAGTTTTACCTTCAAATGTTTTGTTTTGGTAGTTGCTAACCAATTAATTTGGACTATTTATAAGAAGTCTGTATTTCAGAATTTCTTTGAGAAACTAAAGCACAGATAAAATCAAGATTTTTATTATTTTTAATTCTGAAAATATATTAATGATTATCTTAAATACTGTTAGCCTTTCAGAGCTAATCTACTTAAAAATATGCCTAACAATAATCTAAATATACCTATAAAGACATGGCATTTCATTAATAAATAGTTGTGACTTACATCAGGTTAAATATATATATGCCATCACATAAGCTAACGATTTTATGGGAAGTCAGTAATGGTCATAATCTGTTAACTTAAATGGGAATTGATTTGAAAGTTTCAAATGACAAGATAATTAATATGAAAGAAAACACACATGATCTTTGTAAATGACTATGACATTTAACTTGCAATGCCTTTTCAGGCAGAATAGGAGATCTTAATGCAAATTGTTTCTGTTTCTATTATTTGAACTTACCTTCTTAGTCCCATATTATTCACTGCTAATGACTAAGACATCATATATATTTTGTCCAAAGGCAATATTCAACTGTGCTAATCAAAATATAACAGTATAACTTAAAAATCCATTCAGTTGTTACTACTACTAAGATTATTACTTTTTAAAGCGGAGGTCTAATTTTGCATTAATTTTAGTCATTTTGTTTTGCAAAAGTATAAACAAGGAGGTGCAATATACTTGTAATGATTAAAAACAGTTCTTGCCTTTTTCAAGCTTCCCATAAATATTTTCTCACATATTTGTTAATATATGTTTAACTTAGATATCTACTTGCTGAAAGGTTAGTACTAAAGTTTTAAACCACAGAGTGAGAAAATATAAATCCTAATTTAAATAATTTTAGTGAATAGGGTAAAATTTTCTTATATTAAGAAAAATGTAGATAACTGACAATAATATATCTAATTTCATATCTGTTAAACATATATTTAAATGTTTAGAATATTATTTATAGAAATAATATATTGCTAAAATATATTATCCAGTAATCTAAGCCAATAAACAAACTATGCTTTAGTCATATTTGTTACAAAATAAATGCATAATTTACCAAATTATTTATAAAATAATATTAACAATCTAGATAAAAAGAATAATACAGAAAGCAATAGAATATAGTTAGTATGGGGGAATTCCTCAATATACTGGTTAAAATTGCTTCAAATGAGAAATACTAAATTAATATCAAGAAAAGTCTGTAAAATAAGATTATTAAAATTATATAAAGCTCTGTCTTAAAAAATTAATGAGAATTTAATCTGTCAACATACTTTTGAGGTGACTCCCTCTGTCTTCTTGAACAAATATATATATATATAAATATATATTCTCGGCCTTTTGGCTAAGATCAAGTATAGTATATATACACATATATATACATAATATATATATACATATATTAAACTAGTGAGTAATTTAAATAAAATAATGAAATTAAAATCACTTGTTAACAGAATTTTTATCTAGATGTTATTTAGATGGTAGGTTAGAATAATCTACATATTTGTCACGCATATTGCAACACTCTCTCAATAATAATGATAATACAATTGTTCTATTGGTAATGATAATGCAATTTCATAGAAGTGCTCGCAAAATAAGTGCGAATATTGTATTTTTGGAGAAGGAAATGGCAACCGACTCCAGTATTCTTGCCTGGAGAAGTCCATGGACAGAGGACCCTGGCAAGCTTCAGTCCTTGGGGTTACAAAGAATTGGACATGATTTACTGACTATCACTACTGTATTATTAGAATTGCTGTCATAGTTAGTTGATGAATTGAACCCCATAAGATCTAGATGAATTATTTAAGGTCAAATGTTCTTTCCTATGCATTTTTAGTGTATTTGTTTAAATGCAATGTCCACGATTTAACATTTTTATCAGAATAGAAATATAGCCTTATATTTTGGAATTCTTTTAATAGTTTGCACTTAGGTGCATATATATTATCTAGATAATGCAATGTAAGTTTAAAAATATGACAAAGAGAGGTACATTGAAAATATTTATTTTATGCAGTTTATTGTTTTCTACTTATTCATCAGTATTAATGGTATTAAATGGCATACATCAAGGTAGCCTAAGGCAATTTGTCCATATATTCAACTATTTAAAATAATTAGTATCAAAAATTAAATTAAAATTCTTTTTTCATTAAAATTTCAAAAAAAATAAATAGAAAAATTGAGGAAAAATTCAACATCAAATTTAATGAATTTTCAGAAATAAACTAATAGCACATCAATAGGACACAAATAATCAGATATCTAGTTCATGTAACTTAGAATTATTATTTATAAGTAAATAATAAGGAATAGTTAAAAATACATTAGTCTTTGAATATATTGGGCCTTAGAAATAATATCAATATGTCATAAATTAAAGAACTTTTAATAAATTTAAAATAAAGATATCACTATGAATTTCCTAGTCGAAAAAGACAGTGTATACCAAAAACAACCTGACTTTCTTTCAATTTTGACAGAAAAGCATATCTCATTTCAGAGCTTAGGTACATACTCCTAAGTCAAAATTGATTCCCAATTAGTATGCCTCAGTAGTGAGTCAATAAAATGGAGTATTTTTCAACCTTATTAGAAGCTTTATTTTTGAACTATTTACATTTGCTTTACTTGTCAAAAAGATGACTTAACATAGCATTATAACTCTCACCAAGAAAATTACCCAAACTTCCTTAAAAATGTGGATTCTTACTTCTCTAGTTGTAGAGTATTTTAAAATCTATATACCAGACCATCATTCTAAATATATGAATTCATATTTCTGATAAAGACAGATTACTATACCTATGTGCAGGTATTTTTCGGTTCCCAACAATCAGGATAACATCACAGAGTTGCTGTTGCTTCAAATAACTTTCCATTTTTCTGAATGTTTGCTCAGCATGGTGCACAGCCTGATAGAATTCTTCAGAGCTACCAGAATCCATATCACTCTGAGGTGTCAGCAAATGGTTAGTTTCTGAGAGTCTGCAAACCACACACAAAAAGCATAAAAGATGGGGTTTATAAAGTGCCACCAATTGTTCAGAACTACATAAAAGTTTTAGTTTTAAATTTAAGCTTCTCTTTTTATGTCCATTATTATTAATATGTCAGAAAAATCCATTTGGGGTTAAATGATTTGTTTTAGGAAGCAATAAATGAATTGTAAATTTTTTTCACCTTAAAGAAATTTAAAAGATAGGTTATCTGTATTTATTAGGAGATAATAAACTTGACAACAGTGAGAAATGGTAAATTACAAACATAACCTCCCTAAAATGAATTACTAGTTAAATGTTAATTTAATCAATTTGACATTGAGTTTGACCATTTAAGTATATGTTTCTAAATTACTATTCTTGTGAGGTTTTAGTAAATGTATTATATAACTAGGTGATTTTTACTGTGAGAAATTATAAAATGTCATTTGGAAAAAGACTGACAAAAAATAATTTCATGGCTGCAGTCACCATCTGCAGTGATTTTGGAGCCCCCAAAAATAAAGTCAGGCACTGTTTCCACTGTTTCCCCATCTATTTGACATGAAGTGATGGGACCGGATGCCATGATCTTAGTTTTCTGAATGTTGCACTTTAATCTAACTTTTTCACTCTCCTCTTTCACTTTTTTCAAGAGGCTCTTTAGTTCTTCTTCACTTTCTGCCATAAAGGTGGTGTCATGTTCATATTTGAGATTATTAATATTTCTCCCAGCAATCTTGATTCCAGCTTGTACTAAACTGAGCTTTAAGATTTCATAAAATCCATGATACTTGATTTTGGCTCTTATACCTAATAATATTATAGTCTGTTTCACAAAAAGTATATTAAGATACCATATTTTATATATAGAACACTCTCAATATACGTGCATGATAGGACCAGCAGACTCAATTATATTCTCTGAAAATAAATCCTTAAAACAATTTAAAAATGAAAGTGTATTAGATGCATAACATTAATAAGGGAATAAATGATGTATTTCAAGATAGAAAGTGACATGGAGTATTTTACTTCCAGTTACAATGCAATAAATTGTTGCTAATAAAACCCCTCACCAGGAACACCAGAAAAAAGTTACATAAAATATCAAAATTACTACTGGAATATACCTATAGCTTCTAAGGCAGCTAGAATCTGAAAGAATAAGAACCTAGAATAAAGGTAAACTCATGAAAGTAAGCTCAAAATTACACACAACTTTTTCTTTCTTCCTCAAGGTTTCTACCAACTATAAGCAGTATCAAGTAGGAGTCTGAGAACATAAAAAGCTAATGTGGCAACTAAGCAGAACTTCAATTTAAGTCTGAATTTGGCAATAAGGAGTTCATGATCTGAGTCACAGTCAGCTCCTGGTCTTGTTTTTGCTGACTGTATAGAACTTCTCCATATTTGGCTGCAAAGAATATAATCAATCTGATTTCAGTGTCAACCATCTGGTGATGTCCATGTGTAGAGTCTTCTCTTGTGTTGTTGGAAGAGGGTGGTTGCCATGACCAGTGCGTTCTCTTGGCAAAACTCTATTAGCCTCTGCCCTGCTTTATTCTGTACTCCAAAGCCAAATTGGCCTGTTACTCCAGGTGTTTCTTGACTTCCTACTTTTGCTTTCCAGTTTCCTATAATGAAAATGACATCTTTTGGGGGGTGTTAGTTCTAAAAGATCTTGTAGGTCTTCATAGAACCGTTCAGCTTCTTCAACATTAATGGTTGGGGCATAGGCTTGGATCACCATGATATTGAATGGTTTGCTTTGGAAACAAACAGAGATCATTCTGTCATTTTTGAGATTGCATCCAAGTACTGCATTTTGGACTCTTTTGTTGACCATGATGGCTACTCCATTTCTTCTAAGGGATTCCTGCCCACAGTAGTAGATATAATGGTCATCTGAGTTAAATTCACCCATTCCAGTCCATTTTAGTTCGCTGATTCCT